TTAAGTCTATTTCTTTTTCTTCTTCTTTTTCTTAGAACTCGTTTCGGTCTCCGCTTCGACCGCTTCCTCCTCTTCTGCTTCTTCTGTCGGTTCACTTGCTTTAGATTTCTTGCCTTTCTTTCCCTTTTTGGGAGTTTCCACCTCTTCTTCCGCTTCCATCTCTTCGGGCTCTTCTTCCACCTCTGCCTTCACCTTCTTTTTCTTTTTCTTATCTTTGGGTGTCTTCTCTTCGGTGTCTTCTGTTTTGACAGTCGGTTCCACTTCTTCGTCGTATTCTTCAAACTTACGTTTAGTGCCGGAAGGGGTGGCCGTCGAGTCTGCGGCCGCTTTGTATGTATGGATCTGTGATTTGTTGTCGTATTTCTCGAATTTCGCCCTTTTCTTTCCCGAACCGCTGATAGCTCTCAGACCCGAGTCCTCGAGGTATTTGAGTCGCGCCTCGAGTTTGGCTCTGTGTTCGGTTCCCAACTCATTGCCCGACTCTTCGCCCAAAGCGTCCACACGTGTGGCGAGCGATGCCTTCGCGGCCAACATTCGAGACATTTTGCCCTTCAGTTTAGGATTACTTTGACCGACGAGTTGGGCGTGATATAGGAGACCGTACTTCGGAGTGTCGTGTTTGGTCTTCAGCGCTCTGAACAGCGCTTTCTCGGCGCCCAATATCTGGACAGTAGAGGCCGGATGTTTGGCCAGATTGAGGAGCGAACCCGCGTGTGATATAAGCCGAGCGCCAACTAATTCTCCCACAAGTATTGTCAGATTGGGAGCGATGGCTAGCATTCGGTTCTTCAGGTACTCAAACAGTTGCGATCTATACTCCTGTAAGTCCAACACGTTTTGACACAAATGATTGATATTAAGCATATCTTCGTCGGCAATCTCTGTTCCCATCGACACTTCCGCCATCTCTTTCACCTTCGCTTCGATCTCTTCGGGCAATATATCGGACAAATCAGTGGTCGTGGCGTTCGTTCGCATTCCTTAACATTCAACACCCAATCAATAAAAGCATTCAAATGGCATAACCAATGGTCACAAACCTATAGCTAAAACGGTTCTAATGAAAGCCGAGTTATCGGAAACAATTTTGGAGAGTTCTGGGAAATGCCATCCGTACCACTCCTTACTCCTCATCACATAATTGTTGAGCTCTTTATCCAAGTCATCGAGAAGTGCTTTAAACAAATCAATCCATTTATAACATCACTAATAATGAGACAGTGATATAGCGCTTACAAACTGCTTGTATGATCATTGTGTCCACTTTGTCGGGACTGAACTTCAGTTTATATCGACCCAATCTGTCAACAAATAAATCAAATTAATGGCAAATTCTGATAATAAGTGACAATAAATGTGTGCAGCAATGGATCCAATCAGTGGTAGTGACGAAACAATCAAAACAATTGAATCATTTAATTCTAAACTATAATATCCATGAAATCATCATTTGGTCCAAAACTATATCGCAAACAAAAACATCAAAACTCAATGTCTAACCCGTGAGACAATCCCAACTGCATGGCGGCCTCGTCTTCGGGCGACCACTCGGGGATCAGATTCTCGATCTGCGAGCGAATGCAACTCATCAGCTCCTGAATGGCTTGACTCGTAACGCATCCGATGTTCAGCTTATCTTTGATAGAGTTGCCGAGTTTGGCGTCCGAAACGGCCAACTCTTCGTTCGCCATATCCTTCACCACCACTTTCTTCAGCATTTTCTTCAACTTCTTGTTCATCTTTCCCTCAATCAAAGACGTGGCCGAACTCACGGCTTCGGTCGTGTCGCGGAAGCGCTCGAAGTGTTTCAACGAAATCAGTTTATTGGCCTTCTTTGACGTCGAGAACTCTTTGTACAGATCGTCCACTTTGGAGAGCTTAGACTCGTCCGACACCTGAGGAATGCAAACAAGTCATGGCTTACAACACATCAACTCTTAAGACATCAATTGATAGTCACCTTAAAGACGGCGTAACCGACGGCCGACTCAAACAAAACCAACATTTTCTTTGAGCGCGGATTTGATTGCAATTCAAACGAAACAAACGATTAGTAAATCATTGAATTGAATGCAAAACACATTTCATATGAAAAACACGTTTTCTTTCAACGCTTTGAAAAACATTGAATTTCTCAGTCTTTCGGTTCGTCCGTAAAAAACGTGCCAAAAATGGGTCACAAATTGTCGTACATTTCAATGCAATTTCAATGGCAAACCCGCGCGAACCCAACCCCTCAAAGGGTAACGTATGTTCTGAACGGCGCGACCGGTGTTTGAGTGCCATCTCGTGGTCGCTATGAATGTGTGTTTCGTTACGTTTTGTGTCAAAAAAATTAATTTCATTTTTGATTGCATTTTGAAAATATTGTTTACAAGTGTTTTGTCACACATTTGTGTCGTTATTACCATTGATTCGTTTCTTGGGATCAATTGGCCGACAATGAGTGAACTCGATTGCGACGACGAGTTGAGCGCCGATTACAATGACTACGAGATGAGAGACTCGGATGAAGGTTTGCCACCAAAAAGCAGACAATCGATCGCTTGATTGACACATCCATCCAATTGTTTGTATCATTGATTTTGACATTTGCTTTGCAGACACCGAAGACGCTTCCGAGACAGACGTTGTCCTCAAATATGACAATACGGACAACGAATACACAGAGATTAAGGAACAGTAAGTGATTGTCTCGCGATACCAGATCCAGATGTATGACCCGCTCGTGTCTGTCATGTCTATACAGGATATATAGGGATAAGTTGGCCACTCTTCAGGACCAACTCAAGCAATTGGATAAAGGCTTTCATCCCGAATACGTCCGCAAAATTAGACGATTGGAACAGTTATACGAAGAGAGGATACTATTGGATGAAGTATTTCTCGCATTTGAGGTATGGTTTGGACTTTTTGTGGTCAATTTGTTGTCAATAATGTCTTAATGTGTTATTATGTGTGAACTGAACGACAGAGCGATCGCATCGAAAGGGAGTTTCATTCGGAGAAGAAGTCAGCCGTTCGTGAGTTCGAGGAAAGGAAAGTGGAGTTAAAGGAGAGTCTGATTACAGAACTGGAGGACAAGAAGAAGATGATTGAAAGCGAGAGAATCAGTTTGGAACTGATGAACGACTCAACCGAACCCAAACCTCTCACCACAAGGAAACTGAGGCGAAGGCCTAACGAACCGATACCTATACCGGAGAAGCGGCGAAGAGCTTCGCCTGATATCCTTTCAATTGATTTGATTTATACTATAAATGATTGTCTAATGTTTAATGTTTTCCTTAACCGCTTCTATACCTCAACTCAATCTATTGTTAGATGAAAGCGATATTATGGAAGACCTGAAGATCTTAAGCCGCGCCACCAATTCCAAGATGAGCGCCGGACTCAAGAAGTTGTATTCCTCGCAATCATTTGAGGACCCGTTGTCTTCATATGACGCCAAAATAGAAGACGGAAAGCTGTTTTACGACAAGAAGTGGTTCCATAGGGGGCAGAATGTCTTAATCGATACAAATGACTCCAAATACAACGCAACTCTCGCACAAATTGGCACTTCGGAGGTATGTCTTAACATTGAAATCATTTATGTTTATTAAAAAAGTTTTTCTAATATAAATAAAACATTAAATTAATTAAGATATGGATTAAGAAGACGAATGATTCGATTAAATCAAAGATAACGCTAAACGACTTGCATAACGGAAAGTACGCTCTGTATAGACGCTCCTCTTAGTTGTCGATCGATTGACAACAAGAATAATAATTGATTTATAAATACTATAACTATTTTTTAAACGTAAAAATTCATTAATTGTTAAATTATACTATAAATGATTGTCTAATGTTTAATGTTTTCCTTAACCGCTTCTATACCTCAACTCAATCTATTGTTAGATGAAAGCGATATTATGGAAGACCTGAAGATCTTAAGCCGCGCCACCAATTCAAAGATGAGCGCCGGACTCAAGAAGTTGTATTCCTCGCAATCATTTGAGGACCCGTTGTCTTCATATGACGCCAAAATAGAAGACGGAAAACTGTTTTACGACAAGAAGTGGTTCCATAGGGGGCAGAATGTCTTGATCGATACAAATGACTCCAAATTCAATGCAACTCTCGCACAAATTGGCACTTCGGAGGTATGTCTTAACATTTCAATCATTTATATTTATTAAAAAAGTTTTTCTAATATAAATAAAACATTAAATTAATTAAGATATGGATTAAGAAGACGAATGATTCGATTAAATCAAAGATAACTCTAAACGATTTGCATAACGGAAAGTACGCTCTGTATAGACGCTCCTCTTAGTTGTCGATCGATTGACAACAAGAATAATAATTGATTTATAAATACTATAACTATTTTTTAAACGTAAAAATTCATTAATTGTTAATAACATAAATCATTAAAAACAATNTTGCATAACGGAAAGTACGCTCTGTATAGACGCTCCTCTTAGTTGTCGATCGATTGACAACAAGAATAATAATTGATTTATAAATACTATAACTATTTTTTAAACGTAAAAATTCATTAATTGTTAATAACATAAATCATTAAAAACAATAAATTAATTTATTATATCATAAATATTGTGCTTTTGTTGCGTGTATTCACTGTTCGCTACTTTTGCCGCTGTCGTTGCTTCCGCTCCGTTGATTATGGCCACGAGAGTATAACTGCGATGAGTACCTACCGCACCTGCCTCACGGGCCTGGAGGACAGTCCTTGTCGGCGCTGCCGCCGACTCGCAACTCGAGGTCAAATGATTAGAGAGGAGAGTACTTTCGCTCCAATTTGTCGACACACGCGTCCTGATAGTCATGGATCCATCTGTCATCACAACATGTATGCGTACAACAAGTTAGCAAACTATTGCCAATCAATGCCTATCAATCACACAAACCTGACTCCATTGAAATAACAAATGGCGCGCATGTCTTCGGGAAGCGCTTCGCTTTCTGGCCATTGAAAAGTGTCCAAAATTGGAATTATATTACACTTACTCTGGAGGGCCTCAACCACTTCCTATCATATAAAGACAATTATCCCAATTAATCAATCGTTTCATATAAACATCTCGATTATGATTTATTATTTAAATTATTAACTTATTTATGAATCATAAATTATGATATACCGTACATGTACTGTAATTATGATAACATGTATTAAAATGTAGTATCATTTTCTGTCTAATAGTGTTATAAAGTAGTGATCTCTTACTCTATGGACCCAATCCTTGCACTCGACATCATCCAGACATCTGTCCAATGCGTTTGGCGTTAAGACTAATAGAAAATACTTCGCTTGTCGTATAGAACTCAACAAATTGTTGTCAAACTTTCCGGCTTCGAGTCTCTCGACATCAATGAATACAGTGAATCCTCGCAGTTGTAAATGTACTTTCAATAAGCTTTATAAAAGCAATACAAGAATTATAAAACTCATATTTTATAAAAAATGTGATTTATAAATAATGGCCAAGATCAAATGACAATGAATACCTGGCTAATTGAGACCCATTAGAACGTCTATAACTGACGAAAACGTCCAAAACTTCTTCTCTGTCCAACTCTTCAATACCCGGATAAATATCATTAATGCCTGAAAGAAATGGGTTAATTTTAGATTTGTTCTTAACTTCAGTTGTAAATTATGTCTGGAGATTAACAAACGTAATAGAAGTCAGCCACATATGATAATAACTGAAACGTAAGTAAGAAGTCGTAGAGAAGCAGCTAGTACCGAAGTGAGTTGTGGTCGACTCCGCTCTGAATCATAGAATACGTATATTTGGAGAATTCGGGACCCAATGTGTTGAGGATATCATTCAGATTTGTCGCATCACATGAAGAGTAATCACAAATCCTTTTAAGTTTTTCCAATTCTCGTAAAAATCGTTTCCTAAGAATTCCGTTTTTGATTCCTATGTCTTCTCTCAGCATATCTTCGGTTAACTGTAATAAGAGGTCGCCGTCGACGCGACTGCCCGTGAATTCGCCCACGAATTGACAAAACCCTATTTGTTTGACCCATTCTTTCACGTCTTCAGGACTCCAAAGCGGAACCTGTTGTGTGAGTTTGTGTGGAATCTCTTCGCCGATTAGACCCAACGCTTGGGCCGCGTATTTGGAAGCGATGGCATTCGGAGAACCGGCGACTGTCTTCAGCGCATCAATGCATCCAATCTCGCGGAATACCGACGTCTTGTCCTGAGTTTTCTTAATCCATGCCTCCATTGCGAAGTGAAAGGCGGCTAAACTTCTGGCCTCTTCGCGGTTGCTGTTGAGGACCGGCACTAACCTCTTGAGCCAGTTCTTGGACTGGCCGTGAATATGAGACGTACAACTTCTGGCAAAATCTTTTGGATTGTGACTCGATATGAAGGGCTCCACTAAATCAAGTGTTCCCGACTTGAGAACCGCTGCCTCCACTTCTTTGTTGGCCACCAATACAGCGATCGCCAGACAGGCGTAGTATTTAATATTGTCGTCGTTATGAAAGGCTAATGGAAACAACCAAACGGGAGCTTTCGATTGGATCATTGATATCTGGCTGTCGGGTCCGCCATAAAGTGACAGATTGGCCAACGCTGACGCACAATGTCTTAATGTGATAATGTCTGTACCCCTGCACTCATAGAGAATACTCTCGAGTCCTCCCAAACCAATCACTTCTTTGCAGACATCTTCCGAGTGCTTAAACAGATGCTCCAGAAGTCCGGTCCCGACCTGTGCCTCGTCCACAGAATTCATGGAAACACACTTACAGGCGATGTTCACCACATCTGATAATCCCTTTTCGGCCACAAAATCTCTGTTTTCAGAAGTGAGACACTGTTCTAAGAGCTGTGCGCTTAGGAATTGGATCTCCCAATCAATATCTGGTCCGCAATTCTTAATGAGCACTTCAAGAGCGCCGCCATTCCTGATAATCTTCGACATATTGAATCCCAAGTCATAGCCACACTGCGGCACAGACCAGGCTTTTCGCAACATATCTGTCATAACTGTCAAAATTTCGACCGAATCTGTCGATGAATTTAACTTTTCGACTAAATTCAACATTTTTCTCTCCAACTTATCCATCGATCCCTTCATATTACGTGATTCCGCATTATTCTCGTAATTGATATTATTATTACTGCTGCTATTGAAGCCCAGATTCGCGGCGGTCGTGAAATTGCTTAAGAAGTCAAACTCCATGTCCACCTCATTAGTCAACGATAAGATTGTCGGCGAAAACGGTTCTTGTATTATAGGCTGTGCTGTCGAGGAATCGATTTCGTTGTGGTTTACATACTGTAAACTATTGGACGCCTTATTGGACATAAATCGGGACGAATGGGACAAATGGGAGTTCTTTTCCTTTTGGATCAATCCGTGCGAAACCATTCGCTCTTCTTTTTGACTCTCAAATGTCTTCTTATGAGTGACCGAATCGTCGGTACAAAAGTTAAGAGAAGAGGCTTTGGCTGAGCTCTGATGTGAGTGCAAAGTGTCTCCGAATTGCATCTGTTTCTGGTCCTGACGTATGGCCGCCATCTTTGAGGCCGTGAATCCATTCCCCTCTAACTTAGACTTGAGAGCCGACACAGAACTGCGCTCTTCGATGGAAGTGTCGTTAGACTGCAATCGTCTCAACTCTTGATTACTGGCGGTTGTCTTCTGGGCTTTGAAGCCATCGCTCAACAGTTTTATCTTCGAGGCCTCACTCTTGAGGTGATGTTCGTATTTAGAAGACTTCTGTAAACCTCCGGCTGACATCACTGCTGACTCTTCATTATCACTATCTGTAGGAGTGGTGCAAACGACTGGCAAAGAATCAGAAATTTCTTTGGTTTCCAAATTGTGTCGCAAAGAGGGCTCAAAACCTAAACTTGCTTTTCGTTCAGACGATTGATTGAAAATTTGTGTTTTGTTTGATATATTTGAGGAACAGCTCGACAGCTAATCGGAAGAGATTTAAAAACTCCTTATTTAGTGAATATATTT